GGAGAGGAGGAAGGGGGGGGGTCGGAGCAGGCCAGGTTGGAGGTGCTGCTGCCTGGGCGGGGTGGGTGCAAAGCGGATTCGGAGGAGGCCCGCCGAGAGCCTCATCAGCTCCACCTGGTTCCTCCCCAACCACAGCTCTGTGCAGAGGCCACAGGGGAGGGCTGGAAACTGCAGGTCAAAGGAACCGTCCTGAGAATGAGTGGGAATCGTGAGTGGGAACGAACTACACTGGCTCAGAAACTCCCGCCAAGGGCTCTCATGGAGACCAGCTGGCCCGAGGCCCACGCAGCCTGTGTCTGCGTGACTGGGAGCAAGCCCGGGTGAGGACGGGAACCGTGGACAGAAACTCAGCAGGCAGGCATCAAACGGTCCTGCGTTCTCGCAGTCCTCGGGAGACAACAGCCTGCGGCGTTGGCACACCCCATTCCTGTGAGCTAAGGGGTGTGTGGCCGGGTGTGATCGGCCCTCCCCTCTTCACCTAGCCCCATGTGAAGAACCTCAGGCAGGAGGGAGGCTGGATTGCTGGTCCTGACTCTTTGCCCTCCTGTAATGGGAGTCAGTCCTTGCCCTCGTCACGGCTTCCCCGAGAACGGCATGCATGTTTTCACTCCTTCTCTTTGGACCTGGCCATGGAACTCATATTGGCTGAGGGGACACTCACAAGGGGATCCCAGCAAAGCCTGAAATGGGGTGTGCACACTGGCATAACCAGCCTGCCAGCCCCAGAAGAGCACAGCTTTGAACCACAACTGCAACCTGGAGCCCAGCCCAGGCCCGCTCACCCCAGCTGGCCCACGGCGCCACATCGAGGCCAAGAGGCTTTGGTGGCTTGCCACAGAGACTCAGGAAAGAGCTGAGCAGTGCAGACAGCGATGGGGCCCCATCCCGCCGGGAGCCTGCTTTCCCAGGCAGCTAACTGGCCGCTTCTCACACCCTCCACGCACCTTGGATGACGCCCCACGGCAAAGGCTTCTCGTCCCCACTTGACAGAGCGGGAACCGGCAGGTAAAGCACGGTCCCAGCCCACGACCAGCACGTGAGACAGCCCAGGAGGGTCCAGGCCAGCCTTTCCCCAGAGCCTGTGCTGTGCCAACCTGGCTTTCCCGGGGCCAGAAGGAATGTGGAGGGGGCGGCACCCTGTGGGAGTGGGCTGGTCCCACCACCTGGCACCAGCCAAGGGCAGCATTTCTTGAAGAAAGGCCTTCATTTCCTTCGGTCCATCACACAGGCTTGGCCGTCTAGATGACCGAGCTGGGCACCGGTAGCCGCTAAAGGTGATGGCCTTGCAGACGGTGGTCCCGGCCCCCCAAAGGAGCCCCTCGCTCCCCACAGGTCGCTGGCCGTCACTCCTGGCCGTTGCTCCGGGGTCACCTATTAGCTGTGAGAGCTCATGTGCCGGGAGAGGTGGTGGCGCTCCCGGAAATACTCGTGGCAAACCGGGCAGCTGAGGGCCTCCTCTCTCATCTTCTTTGAGCGCGGGTCCGGCCCCACCTGCTCCTTCTTGTGGTGGGACCGCATGTGGAAGACCAGGTCGGACGTCAGGCGGAAGGAGAGGCTGCACTTGGCGCACCAGTTCTGGGTGGGCAAGCCCAGGGAGGACAGCGTGGGAGGCAGGAGGGCCCACGAGGTGGTGGGCGATGACAAAGGGGAGGACAGCTGGGCCTCGGCACACTCCAGCCACAGCGTGGGGGCACCCCGGAAGGCAGCACAGGGCAGAGCGTTCTGAGGCAGCATCCGCACATTCCAGAAATCAGCCGCGGACAGCTTGCAATTCGAAAGTCGCCCCCAACAGGGGAGGTCTGCAGAGCTGATGAGCCCTGACAGGCCCCGCAGGGCCTCTGCAGACTCACTCGCCTGGAAGGTGGGGCTCAGCCCAGGCCTCTCCGCCAGTCGCTTGGCTGGTTTGCTGAAGGCGCTTCTCTCCCCCCCCCCCCCCCCGCCACTCCACACAGAAAAGACCGTGCTGCCTGCTGGGTCCCTGCGGACGTCCTGGGGCAGCTGCTGGGGGTCTGGCCGGCCCGCAGGCCCTCCGTGCTCCCTCTCCACGGCCTGACTGCCCCCCAGCCTCTCCTTGGGCCGCCGCAGCTCCGTGAACGCACTTGGCCTCTGCTCCTCACGTGCCCTCCGGGGCAGGGGCTTGGCCCGTCCGGGCTTTGCTGTGGGTGGCCGCCCGTGCC